GTCATATGTTTAGTTAAGTTCAGAGTGCTTAAATCTTTGTTTATAGTTTCTATTAAAATCTCTTTAGGTCTTCCTCTATCTTTTTTCGTATCATTAACATTAATTATTTTACCTCTTCTGATTATCGTATGTAGAGATCTCTTCAGCATATGGTCATACTATCTTAAATGATTTTCTCTCATCTTATCTTATATCGAATCAATACCTAGTTGTTCACGGATAAAAATATTTTTTATCCTATATTTGATTAGTAACTCCACGCATCCATTTCAACATTCTTATCTCGACAACATAAACTTTTTGTATTTTTTTTTCTTAACTACCTAACACTCAGACCCATAAAGCATTATTGGTCTCATAATTGTTTTATAAAATTTTTTTTATTTCAAAGATATTCGATAATCACACAAGACTGTTGCCACTCATCATTTTAACCATCTTGCTTTTATTCTATGAATAATATCTTTATCGATCTCTCAATCTTATTGAATAATTGATCCAAATTGTGAATAGTCCTACCTTAGACAAAAGCAGATTGCTCAAGACTGATAAGATTTTGAAGGAAGTTTTGATCCGGTTGGCAAGAACCTTAGATAGGAGTTTATAAACCACATCACAAAGAGCAATGGGTCTAAAGTCTTTGACCACTTGAAGGCTATAGGTCTAAGGTCCTTGACCACGTAGGGGTTGTCTTTCTTAGGAATAAAGACAAAAAGAGTTTTTCCTCAATTGGGGGAGATGCCTGGAGGTGTGGAAAGCAGATAAGGAATGGGACACTTGAGAACATCCTAGAAATGTCGATGTAATTCAACATTGAAGCAGTTGTGGCCAGGATTCTTTCCAAAACCCATTTGGAGATGTGTGAAATCTCGGTGGAGACTTAAAAGAGGTAAAAGAAGGTAGCTGAGTTAGGTTTGGGCATAAGGACTTATGTTAAATAAATTACCTATATTGTTATATTTGTTGAATATATTATTACTAAAGAGAGGGAACAATGATAGTTTTATCTTCAACTGTATGCATACAGAAACCAATTTCTGCAAATTATTCTTGAAGGTTTTGTTCCACATCATTCTAATCTTTTAAATTCTTTGAAGGTATCTAATCATTTCGTGGTACAAGTGTCAGAGTCTAGTAATTCAACAACTGACTTTAACTTTAAGGAGCTATGTAAAGAATTGTAAAATTTGAAGTGCCCTGATTGGTAGTTGCAATTTTTGAAGAGGTGAATAGGATATATGCAGGGATATATCAGCAAATTTTCATTTATTTATTAAACAATTTACTCGAATAAGTCCCATTTCTCGTTGGCTGCTTGAGGAACACCTTATAAATGTGGCTTTAATACAATGTCTATTTTACTTGTAAGCAAATCAACATATCTCTGTTGCATGCCAATGCATTTTCTATATAATTTCTATACAGACTTTTCTCACATTTATATTATCAAGTTTGTGACGAATGAACATGGAATAACTTATATTTGTTGTTATTACGTACTTATTGTAGGTCTCTGTTTTGTTTCCACACACTGAATTACTTTTCATCTTTATTTTTCATTCAGATTATTGGCATCATTGATCAACCTGTCTTAAGAGAAAGATGGGTTGGGATTGATGGGAGAACAACAACAATGAATGGACGGGAAGTTTCAACACGTGATTGTAACAAACTTTCACAAGCTTACTTGTATGGGTTCTTTTCTTTGATAGAATATTAGTTGAATCACAGTGATTTTACATTCAGTTGTGTGAAATTTATGGGTTTTCTACCTTGATATGAAAATATTTTGTCATTATATTATTTCTTTTCTCGGGTATACAACAAGTCCACATCTCTTTAGCGGCGATGCTGAAAAAGCTTTCTGTCGTGTAAGAGATAAGGTGAGCAATGCGAATTGGTCATGTACTGTATTTTTTGCTTGATTTTTCAGTGGATAAGAAAAATATTAAATGTGTCAAAGTCCATGTGACGCACACTTATTGATACTTGCTCATTTCCTCTTTGTTTATATATTTTAATTCTAGGTCAAAGTTCCACTGTATGGTTGCGATTGTTATGCTTATGCTCTTCTGGCTTCTGGATATGTTGATCTTGTAATTGAGTCTGGGCTAAAGGTGAGATATCTAGTCCGAATAACTCTCTTAGGATGACCTTAATATCAGTTCAGCTTTTTCCACTGGGTAGTCTAAGTCTATTTGCTTCAATATTTAATAGTGCACAACCTTGGTTTACTGTTTCCATTTATACTGCTAGGCCCATTTTTTTCTTGGGTATTCAAGATTCGACTTGTCATATACTCATCAGTCATAAGCCATTATGGTAATACCGTCTTGGTGTCCCAAGTCATGCTTAATCGAAGTTATGTCACAATCTAAAACAATAGACTTAACTGGCTTAGAACATTGGTGGAACTTTACCACATGGTTTGAAATGGTTAAGCTCAGTATTACCAGATCTATCTAGTCTTAGAAACCAACTCAACCCATCATCCACTTTTAATGTAGTACCGATTGGGGTACTACAAGCTTGGTCCTCTTTTGGACTTGAGGTCTCTGTCAATCCTGATGTGATCAATGTGGACTAGTAATCATGACATAGTGAAGCAGAATCTCGTTACCCCTATCTGGATGACAGGATGGATTCTGTATTCCAACTTGAACTCCTGAAACAAATGGAGTGTTTTCATCCTATAACATTGTGGAATTGGGGTTCATAACTTCCAGTCACATTAGCATTAGAAAGTAAATGAAAACATATATATCTAATGTCATTTTCAAGAATATATCTTTCAACTGCCTGTTGCTCATGTAAAATCTTACTGCTTGACAGCCCTATGACTTTCTCTCGTTGGTACCTGTAATAGAAGGTGCTGGGGGATCAATAACTGATTGGAAAGGACATATGCTTTACTGGAAGGTCTCCCCCGAGTCATGTCCAACAAGTATGGCTCTTTTGCTGTTGTGCTGTTTCATCTCGTTCCTGTGACACAATTGTGTATTTTATTCTTGTTTGTGGTGAACCCATAACTTTTCTGATACAATTACTAGTCTTGGTACCTTCCATCCAAGCAATTCAAATCCAAGTAGTGTGTTTAGGGAACTAGAACTTTTCATATTCTTATGCATCTCTGACATTTTCAGCTTGTTTTGTTTCCAATTAATAAACAAATGATGCTGTAACTTCATTTCAGGTTTTAACGTTGTAGCAGCAGGGGACCCTAAGGTCCACAGACAGGCTTTGGAAGAGCTACACTGGCAGTAAGGCTCATGGCTGCTAAATCTGAAGAATTGTTTATTGGCTTAGGACATACTTAAGTCATTTGAAAGGTATTTAGGATAAAGGGCAATCGGGATCAGTATGGAGATCGCATTTGTTACTTGCTATGCTTATGGTAACAAATTCTTTTAACTCTGTTTGCTACATCCGACTGTGTTACAGCTTATGCAAATAAAGTGGAAGCAATTTTTGAGGGAGCCGTAGTAACATACGGTCAACTAACCCATGGAAACATTATAAATGACTTCATTTGTACTTCTCTTCGTTCTTCTTTCCTCTCTTTTACTACTATTTAAGATTCCTTTTCTTCTTCATCCTCTTCTTTCTATTGTTCCTCTTTTTCCTCTTGTTTTTCTTCCTCATCTTTTTCTTCTACTCATTCTCTGTTTTTCATATTTCTTCTCCACTTTATCATCTTCTTAATCTTTTTCATTTTATTCTTACTCTTCTTTTTCGTATTCTTCTTACTTTTCTCACTTTCTACCTTTATTCGTCTTCTTTCTCTGAGCTGTCGTAGTTGATCTAATAGTTCGATTTGCACTTGCAAATCCAAATGCAATGTTTTGTAAATGTGTTTGTTCGTCGTCTGTAAACCCAACTGATATGTTTGCTTGCGGTACTGCCTACGGCTAAATCATGTCTGCGTGAGGCTTTGCAAAAGCTGGCTGCAAGTTGTAATGTTAAATGCAATAGTCTCGTTAAACCTATCTTTATATAATTGACACTATATAAAATATCTTTATTTTGAACTTACTGGGCTGAAATCGAGCTCCTAAGTTGCTTATGGATTTTTTGATCAATAAGTACAAAATCAAAATTGATTTATGGGGTTTTTGTCAAATGCATATCTTATAGAAATGGAGGACCTAAGATGTGAGATAAAAATGCTCTAAAATGACATATAAGGCCTTGGGACTTGGGCCAAAGTTGGTGATCCCACTTACTCTTGAGAAAAGTTGGCACCAACTTGAGAAGATCTCTATCAAGTTACCAAGGAAGTCTGACCGAGACCCTAGGGGGCTCGGACATCCCTTAAACTTGGAATATTCAACATCTTCAAAAGTATTACCCATGAAGAAAAACCCAATTCAATAATATAGTAACTTACATGCTTTGTAAATAAAATAAAATTGGTTTTCATAAAAAAAAAAAAGCTTCTATATTATGCTCATTAGTTCGTTACATTAAAAAGATCCATCGATTAAAGAGGAAAAGAAAAAAAATAATAAGGAGCGTAAAGGCCAAGCCTAATCTCAATACTTACTCAATCTTGACCTCAACCATGTCATCGTCCTCTGACGACGGCGAAAGGGAGAGATTGGAAGAAAGAGGTTGGATTAGCTTGATTCCTATTGCAGCAATAGCTATGACCCGCAATGCATAAATCTCGACGTCAGCGAGATTGGTGGGTTGGGCGGCATCCTCGATCTCAATAGGTGCGATAGTAGGAGGATCCACCAGAGCTCCTTTGGCCCCTTTTAACAGCTTTGTCACCTTCAAGGTTTGGAGGAACGCCCTCGGGATTAGCTACCTCGGTGCCGTCCTCGAGAAGCTATCCCTCAACTTCCTTATGGTCACTTATATTCCTTATGGTCATCGAGTCCGTTGGATTCAATGAAGACAAACTCCTCATTAGTGGGCCACTTGCTATTGCAGCTTTCTAAGAGCTTGAGGCCAAGGTGGTCATAAAACGTTTGAGATATCACAAGCTGATACCTAAAGTGCCAGACATTAAATGAGACTTGGGTTAGACCCTTCTCAAACCTTTTAGATACCTTCTATTTGGTGACCCTTATCGCCTCATACTCTAACTTTCGCTCTTCCTCAATCCTAAGTTGCCCCATCACCCACTCCACTGCTTGCTACAAGTTGACATTCTTGATGCAGAGAATCACCATCTCCTCGTTTGACTTTAATTGTACCTTGTTGAGCTAAAGGCAATTGGCTCTCACTTTGTTGACAGTTCGAAGCATCAAATGTAGTTGATTGGCTAGATTTGTTGACTGATGATTCTTTATTGCCAGCTCTCTCTCCACGTCCATTGTTTGCACTCGGAGCGTCTCGGCTTTGTCAACAAAGCAATTCGTCTTCGTAGCCCTCATTACGAAGTCATCCCTTTCTCTCATTACTCAAGCTAGGGTAGTTGAGGAATCCTTGACCTGATTCAAGAGAGTCAATGACAGAAGTTGTCCTTGCAAAGCAGAACCCATTGTTAGGGTGATAAAGAACCATAAAGGTCATATGCATCACTAGCGCTTACCATAACAAAGGAATTGTGAGCATCACTGATGAGGTTGTCGGTCTACCTCATGGACACCC